CCTGGAGCTTCTGTATCTGTGTGTGTTTTTCTTATTGTTGGGCGGAAGCTGTAGGGCTTGCTCCTTCCTGCCACAAGAATCAGTTTCCAATTGCCGATGTTGGTATTCTTCTGCATTGGCTGCGCGCGAATTGGGCCCTCTTCGTTGTTGGATCGACTTCCTTGCCGCTGGTGTTGGCTCGAAGGACCATGAACAATCTTCTGGATAATATAAGACTGCTTGACGGGGGGTTGCTAGATGAGGCTGTACACCGTCACTTGTACAAATTGAAAGACTGGACTAGGTTACAGTTATTACATTATCATGAATTCATAAGGTAACAATTTATTAAGAGTTGTGAAACGCAAGCCAGCAATCTGGCCGCGAAATACTACAAAGGCATCAAGTTTCAAAGGAAAAAGAGGTACTATAATTGCATACGTAAAATGCAACGTATGCCAACTAATGCAATAAGAAATAAGGACACTATGTCAAACAAACACAAATACGTCATAATTAATTGTATATATAAACTGTAAATAATACTCAATAAATCACTATCGATTTGAATGTCGTTTAGTCGTTGGGGTTGCGAGGTCTCCAGTCTTTCAATTTGTACAAGTGACGGTGTACAGCCTCATCTAGCAACCCCCCGTCAAGCAGTCTTCTATTATCCAGAAGATTGTTCAATTACAAACGAAAAAATTCAAGTTTGGACTTACCTACTAGCTGTGTAATAATAACAAAACAATGAGGTTAGTAAGCATTCGGTAAGGCGCGTCATAAATTCAAACGGCATGAGTGTTCTGATTGGCTTATAGCAGGGATGGCCAAACTTTCGGTTTAGCAGGTCTACAATAGAATTTAAAATCAAGCAGCGGTCTGCCACTAGTGGTAATTCATGAAACTTTATTAAACTTAAAAATTCATGTTTTGAAAACATTCATACATTTGGTTTCTTAGTAGATGTTTGGCACTGCATATTATGAATAAGTTTTTCATATTCCACAGAATATGAACTAACTGCGACGCGTAAACAGCAACAAAGGTGTTCATCTGTTAAGCGAGATCGATGCTTGGTTTTTATCGCATTCATTGTTGAAAAAGTCGATTCACACAGGTAGGTAGATCCAAAAAACGCTTGTCAAATAGAGTGCGCATTTTCGTAGACATGAATATTTTTCATCAGTCAAGAGCTTCCAGAAATCGATACTATCGAAAGCTCTCGATTTGATAAATATGGCACCCCGCAGGTTCACCATTTCCTCTTCGATCCCAAAAGGCTCGGCGTCAATCAAAAGGCCAATCTGAACTGATAAATTATCAATGCTGACATCCTCTCCAAAAGGAAACACCATAAAAGTAATTATTCCTTCGAGACTTTCAAAATCAGCGAACCTTCTTCCAAACTCCTGCTTAAGCCTATCTAGTTGCTCGGAGAAACATTCAAAGTTGCGGTGCACTCTTCTTCCATGTTCTTGAAATTCTTCAATTGGCCTTTTCTCAATTGGGATGCACACATGTCAATTTTTTCTTTAAAGGTTTTAATAGAACTTGTCATATCTATCAGAGTTTTATCTTTTCCTTGGATGCCAGTATAAAGAGGAAAGAGGTAGGGTAGGGAGTGGGGTGTGGGTCGCAAGTCACACGATCATGTCTACAGGGTACTTGCGTGCTATGTTGCCGACTGTCGCTATTGTTTGGTACATACACATACCTATTTACACAATTGATGAATTTTCTCGCGGGCTACCGAAATTATCTTGGCGGTCGACGTCTTGGCCACCCCTGGCTTATAGTCTGTTGCTATTTTTGTATTGGGTTTTGCATGTACGGCGTCACTATTTCTTATTCGCAACTTTTGTACTAACTACCAATACAGGATATGTA